GCTCTGCAATTCTGTCCATCTTAACATGATAGGACTAAAAGGTTCGAAGCTTCAACAATAAGTCACGAGCTTTCTCCTCAAACACTTTATGCTCCTTTTCTCTGAACTCCTTGTACTCTTGAAGAGATCGAGGGTCAATAAAGACTGGCAGAGATTGAAGAATAAATTCATCAAACTCATCAAGGATCTTTTGTGCCTCATGCTTTATAGAAAGGGCAGTGTTATGGAATTCCTCTAGAGATTGATTCTCAACATCGACAATAGAATGCCAATTTAAGAGAGAGAGAAGATAGTGCAAAAACACTTCAACTTCAGGCAAGACAGAAGAATGTAGTGCGTGGCTCCTAGTATGTCGCAGGCCTAGAGAAAATTCTTATAAGGGATTTCTTCACAAAGAACCCCAAAAGGGAGTTGGCTAAAAGCAGCCAGAAGAATTTTGGCCTTATGAGCTTCATATCCAGAAGTTGGGGAAGAAGGATTATAACCAACTATTACACGGTTCTCAACAGCTAATCAAAGCTCAGAAAGCCATTGAGGACGATAAGGTAGAGAGGGGAAAGTTGGGTTAGCTTGAAAGTCCACAAAGTATTGCTTATCATTACATATTTAAGCCACTTTGAAGGTTTGAGACCAACTTCTTTAGCCAAAAGACTAGGGCTTTGCAACCATATGCCAATAGTACAAAAAGAGATATTCAAGTCTACGATTATCTAGTCGAGGTCTATAAGGGTATACCATCCAACTTCGACAAGCTCTAGGAAGAGGAGAGTAGTAATGATGAACGCCTGGGTGGATATGAGGCGGCCACGTGACCCAACCACTAATCGTTCTAGGTGGGGAAGGAAGAGCAGGTGCATCCCAACCTAAAATAGGAGGTTTAAGGATTTTATGAGGGGGATCAAGGGCATAATAGGCCATGGTTTGCGAGTCCTTTGGAAAAGGAACAGAGGGGGATGTTTCTCCCAAGTGAAAGGATTTGAGGAAAGAGTCTAAATCCTTGGAGACAGGATATGCATAAGCAATAGTTGATTTAGCACTGGCGAATTTGACATAATCTTTAATGGCATCATCGTATATTTGATCAATCCCATCATGACCAAGACCGACCATATCTTCGAAGCTTCAGAACACAAATGGTGTAAGCAAAAAATGATAGTTGAAGACTAATGGTTCTTATTCGCCAATATTAGTCATTCTTAAATACAGAAACCTTCAAGTGCAAGTTGAAAGATCATGGTGAGAGAGAACATTGATGTTGGTGGCTACATTTAAGGAGGTGGAGATTGTGAAGGAAACAAAGCTCCAGAAGTTAGAACCACTAGTGTAACCCATAATGCTTACACTAGTGCGGGGGTAATGTTGGCAACATAATTAAATCATTCAGTTAAAAGGTGACACATGGCAAGCAAGGGTAAATATTCAAGCGCGCAAGCCATTAAAAAATCTCACCTTTGAAGAAACTCACATGAACTATAGATGTGAGTTCTAGGAGCTAAAAAGCAGTTATTCAACACGTGACGAGCACAAGGGAAGGAAGTTACCAAAATGGCAATTATCAACGGTTATGCACACACAAAGAGAAGAAGTGCCCTAAGAAGTAGTTACAAGAGAGGAGATAATGGAGCTCAATTGCTTTGAAGACCAAGAGAAGGTTATAAATAGATGAAAGCAAAGATGAAAAAAAGCCCCCGAACAAATCCAGACTCAACGTCTTTGTCATTTTATTTATCTTTAAGTTTCAGCGATGCACTTACTTTTCATAGGAGCAGATTAAATTAACTATTGTATTTCCAGAATTCAACCTTCGAAGTTGCCCTTATTAAAGGTAACACTTTGTAATTGCATTATTCAATTAATCAATTACATTTTTTGTCTAGTCTCCCCATCCTATTCTATTTCAAATTCAAGTTATATTGCATTGGTTGTTACTAAAACACAATCAATAAAGTTCTCTTTATTGAGGCTAAAAGAACCTAATCACAATGGCCTGATAAGTAAATTGACTTATAAATTCTGCAAGGACTTTTTAGATTCTTATTGGCACGCTACAATTACATTTCTACCATTCGAAGTGTCAAAATAGCCAATACTTTGGAAGTCTATGTCTGAATATTTAACTTTTATTCAGAAGTGTATATCCGAATAACACAAATGGTTTGTAGTAAGACCTTTTGTAGGAGTGATTCTACTTACACTACTACTTTACTTCTTTACACATTCCACATGAAAATTTTTTCCCCCTTCTAATTTTACCTATGTGTGAAATTACCTTTAAGGACAAAAGACTAAAATTAAATATATTTTATTATCTCCTTACACACATTGCTCTTCAATCCCTAGTGCTCATTTTTCCTTCTCAGTTTTTCTTCTCTGCTACACGTCTCTTTTCAAAAAGTGAGAATCATAGTGTTTTGATCATAGAAGAAAGCAATGGATGGAGAAACGGTGATGAAGAACCATAAAAAAGGTGAAATGGTGAGTTTTTTTTTTATTTGTTTGGTAGGTTTTCATTTTGTTTTTGAGAGAGTTCTTCAACTTTTGTTTGGTGTGTCAAAATCGAGCAAAATAAAATAGTTCGGAATCACATTGCCAAACAAAAAAAATGTGTCCGGTAACCAACTGTCGAATAAAAGATACATTTGCGCTAACCTAAGGCCGAATGTTTTTAATTTGTTCGGTTACTCATTACCATGCATTTCCAGTTTCATTTTTTTTATATATATATATTTTATTTTTTTCCTTGGAAGGATCATGCTTCTATTCATTGCAGCAATGCAAGTACTGCATTATTAGTGGACTACAATCATGAATTCATTACATATACAAATACAATTTATTATTATTATTAATTTGTATTGAGTTTTATTAATAACTCTGGTGTATAAATGTATTTGTTAACTTTAGATTTGTAGTAGTCGAGAAGCATTAATTAAATGGGCTTCTGATGTTGGGAAAAAGACTGGATTTGTCATTGTCATAAAGATATCAGATGCGGGAGGTAATGGCAGAAAACCAAGACTTACACTTCCTTGTGAGAGAATGGAGATAATAGGAAGATCAAGGGGAAACTATTGAGGTTGATAGGTTCAAAAAAGTGTGGATGCCTATTTTTATTAACGGGGAAAAATTACCTACAAATGTTGAGCAAATGTTGCATGTCTTATGCAGAGTACACAATTATCCGATTGCTGAACATCTTGAAAGGCACTCATTTGCTGGTAAATTATCTAAGGAGGAAACATCCTTGCTAGTTGACATGTCAAAGAGTATGGTGCAACCAAAAGAGATGTTGATTACACTGAAATGAAGGGATGCCTTTAATGCGACAACAATGAAGATAATCTAGAACACACATCATCGACATCGAGTAGTATAGCGGGCTGGAAGATCACAGATGCAAAAATATTGGGGCAATTGTCGCTTCATAATTATGTTGAGTGGCATCGATGTAATGATAGAGAGATGGTGACTGACTTGTTCTAGGCACACCCGGTTAGTTTGGAGTTGTTATGTGCATTTCCACCTGTGTTGATTATGGATTACACATACAAGACCAATAGGTATCGACTCCCCCTCTTAGAGATTGTTGGGGTAACATCAATAGACTTAACATTTTTAGTTGCTTTTGCTTATCTTGGTCAAGAGCAAAATGACAACTATACATGGGTTTTAGGCATATTGCGAACTGTTATGGAGAAGACTGCTTTACCAAAAGTCATTCTTACAGATAGAGAGCTGGCTTTGATGAAAGCCATCTCAAATGTTCTACCTATGGCCACTTATCTTTTATGTAGATGGCATATTAGTAATAATGTTCCGACCAAGTGCAAGAAGGTTGTTGAGACAAAAGAGAAATGGGATAAATTCGTACGTAGTTGGAGTGTTTTGCTATTGGCCAGAATAGAAACATAATTCAATCAACAATTTTCCAATCTCAAGATCGAATTTAGTACATATCTCAAAGCTATTAAGTATGTTACTACCAATTGGTAAGAGCCATACAAGGACAAATTTGTTGCAGCTTGGACAAACAGTACTGTTCACTTCAGAAATAGCACTATAAATAGATAAATTATGCTCATTACATATATGAATTGCTATAATCTTTTTATTTTTATATTAAATACCAAAAATATACATGTAGGGTGGAGAGTTCTCTTGTTAAATTGAAAAGGCAACTTGGATCAAGTCCGGGCAATTTTGAGACATCTTGGACCAAAATACACAACTTGTTAGAGTTGCAACATGTAAACATTAAAGCCTCATTTCAACGGAGTTTGATTATCGTCCAATATAACTACACACCTACTGAGTTCACTGAGTTACGTAGTTTTATTTCAAATTATAGTTTGGACAAAATCTTGGTAGAGTCAAAGAGATCGAATAGTGTGGAAATAGATGTTGTTGCATGTGGCTGCATTTTGCGACGTACACATGGGTTGCCATGTGCACATGAGATAGCTGAGTATTTTCAACAAGGTCGAACGATTCCCCTCTCGTGCGTAAATCCTCATTGGAGGAAGTTAGATATATTTTCAGTTTCAAAAAGTGCCTTTGTGGAGTTGGATTGCAAAACACAAGCCAATTTTATTGTTGAGAAATTTCAAGAGATTGATGAGATGCAACAAGTGATCCTTCTGAAGAAGTTGAGAGAGTTAATTAGTCCAGATAGTACATTTTTTGTGGAACCTAAACTAAAGACTGACATGTGAGCTAAGGGCTGAGGTCGCAGCTGTGGTCGATTCAAAATCGATACATCTACTGAACGCGAGCCATCTGCATTTGAGTTTGTACTATCTGGGCAAGATAGTTATGCACCGGGTGTTACCGTCTCAAGTGCACCAGTTCGTAAGGAAGTGCAACAAAAGAAGGCAATAAATAAATAAATAAAATTGTATGAAATTACATAAAACTTATAACTATGTACAAAATATATTTTAATAGTTGTTCATAAAATTTTAACTATTTCATATATCCATTGGTCTATATTTGTGATGCAGGTTTATATGACACAGCCAACAAATTGTATCTCTTACTTCGAAGAATTTCCGGAGAAGTTGAGACCATATATCCATCATATAAAAGATGTACAAGCAGATGGCAATTGTGGTTTCAGGGCAATAGCTGGATTGATTGGTTTAGGTGAAGATGATTGGCAACAAGTTAGGCGAGACTTATTGACCGAGCTGCATTCGAATGTAGTGCACTACGTGGAACTATTTGGTTCACAGGAAAGGGTTGATGACCTTACCTCTATCTTATCCTACTTCGAACCTAGCCCTAGATTTAATCAATGGATGACTATGCCTGACATGGGCCATTTGATAGCATCATACTACCGAGTCGTTCTTTATCATTTATCCATGCAACAATGCTTGACGTTTCTACCACTTAGATCAATACCGATTGCAACACCTGATCGAAGAGATATCTGTATAGGATTTGTAAATGGAAACCATTTTGTGCAGGTATAAACTACCGAGCCTACTTAGATCATTACCATGCCTTAATTTGTAATTCTACTTGTTGATGTCTTTGTTATAGGTTTATCTGCAACCTGGTCATCCAGTACCTCCGATAGCAAGTAATTGGATTCGTTTTCATCACCCGTGTGCTAATGGATGGAAGAAAGCATATACTACCCGTATTCACCAATTTCGTATGCTTGTCAACCCTAATGTAGTAACTACTGAAACTATCGACATAGATGGATTGTGATAACATGTTTGATTGATGGATGCAAACAATGATAGATTTTATTGATGCTTTTATGGATATTCGTACACTTGATGTTTTTATGAATACTTTTATGAATACTTTTATGGATACTTTTTATGTATGCTTTTATGGATGCATGTTTGATTTTATAGATGTTTTTTAGGGATGCTTAAAGGAAAAAGTAAATATTTAAACGTATAGCGATAGGTGGCTGGACAAATTTATTTTAGTTTGGCAGCATGACACTGGAGTAATCTAATTTGTATAGCAATGTATCACCAAACAGGCACTTCACAAGTGGACTCCAATAAATTTCTTGTTAAGTAAAGTAAAATCATCCAATTGAACAACATATTGTTGGGAAAAATTTTGTTTATCTGGTAACAAGGCATTGGAGTAATTTAAATTCATTAGCATTGTGTTACCAAATAGGCCCAACACAAATTAAAAAGTCATTGTTCGAAGGAAAGTGAATCTGTAAATATATGGCAACTTATGGCTAGACAAATCTATTTTTTTGGGCAAAATAACACCGGCATAATTTGAATAGTTGAGCAATGTATTATCGAACAGGCACTTCACAAGTGAGCTCCAATTAATTTCTTGTAAAGTAAAATAAAATCATCCAATCGAATGGCAACATATTACTGGAAAAAAAAATTAGTTTGTCCGATAACACAGAACTGGAATAATTCAAATTCATTAGCATTGTATTACCAAACAGGCCCAGCAGAAGTTAAAAAATCATTGTTTGAAGGGAAGTGAATTTGTAAATGTATAGCAACAGATCCAATTAATTTCTTGTTAAGTAAAGTAAAATCATCCAACCGAATGGCAACATATTGCTGGGAAAAAATTAGTTTGTCTAGTAACATGGTACTAGAGTAATTCAAATTCATTATCATTGTATTACTGAATAGGCCCAACACAAATTAAAAATCATTGTTTGAAGGAAAGTGAATCTATAAATGTATAGTAACATATGGCTGGACAAATCTACTTTTTTGGGCAAAATAACACTGGAGTAATGTAAATTGTTTAGCAATGTATCACCGAACAGGTACTTCACAAGTGGGCTCCAATTAATTTCTTGTTAAGTAAAGTAAAATCATCCAATCAAACAACAACATATTGCTGGAAAAAAAAATTAGTTTGTCTAGTAATACGACATTGGAGTAATTCAAATTCATTAGCATTGTATTACCAAATAGGTCCAACATAAATTAAAAAACCATTGGTTGAAATAAAGTGAATCTTTAAATGTATAACAACAGATGGCTGAACAAATCTATTTTTTTGACAACATTACACCGAATTTAAATTGTTTAGCAATGTATCAACGAACAGGCTGTTTCCAAATTTAAAAAATGAAATTTCTTTTTAACGGTAACATATGGTTGGGCAAAGTGATTTGATCCGACGACATGGCATCGAAGTCGTCCAAATTTGTTAACAATATGCCACTGAATTGGCCCATAACGCTAAAGAAAACAATATTACTTCCACAAAATGGCACCATATCACTCCAAAATACTTTAATATCATTACAATGCATTGGCAATAATAACAAATCCATATCACAAAATGATTTTTCATAAAAATCATAATATAAATATTCAATACAAAATAGATATGAAATTGTTTAAAATTCATACAAAAAAATGACCTTTGATTACTTGCCTAACCAAACATCTAGTTTACCATTCGTCTAATACATCCACAAAACTATGCCATCAGAAAAAAGTAGATCCCAAACTTTGTACGGTCTAGACATTCACAAAAACTATGCCATAAAAAAAATAAAAAAATAAAAAAGTAGATCTCAAACTCCGTACAGTCCACATGTTCACAAAACTATGTCATAAAAAAAAAGAAGGTAGAAATCCTCATGTATGGTCCATCCTACGATGTTTACGATGGTAAACTTGATGGTTGGTAGGTGTCGATGTAGATCCCAAACTCTGTCTATCAAGAACTTACAGCATCCTACCAATGGTTTCATACAACATGTCAGAGTGCAAGACACACTCATCATGACTGAACCTATGGATTACAGCACCAACACTGAAAGCAGCATCATTACACTGAAAAAATTGATGAAAATCATAGTTAGTGTTTGATTGATGGTGTAACACTTAAAAAGTGAAGTAAGTAAATTCATAATTCGCTTGCCCACTCAGGATCCATGTTAACATCATTCTCGGGACGTTGAACACGTGGATCAAACTGAGAATGGTGTATAGGATTCTAAACAACCCGGTGAGAAACATGAGCATCCCATTGATGGTATCCCTGTACACATTCAGATGGGTTCTGTTGTACAAGCACCTACAAGCATTAATAGACAACACATGATTACCCCATTGCGCCCATATCGTGTCATGGTATTGATACATGATCCTGTACTGTCCTGGTTTACTGCCTCGTGTAGCTCAAACAGGAGATAATGGAGTTGGTGGAATAGTTTGGACCCTACCGAACTATTGCAAAACCCTATTGGGGTGATAGGGTTCAACAATATCAAAGCATTTTAAACATCTAGTATAATATGCAATGTCATGAAGTGGATGGTGTGTCCTACATAAACGATATAGATCCCACTCAATCTACAAATAAGAAATGCATAAATCCTAAACGAAAATGCTCATAAATCCACGTTTCTAATAGCTTCAAGTAACCAACAATCTGCTTAACAAGCAAGTCCTAATTGTCGATACAGGAATGCTAAAGTTTCAGCACCCCATGCATATGAGTTAACAGCATCAATGTTAGTCAACATGTAAAGGTAAGAAACGGGTACTTGAGTCCTACTCTTGTCAACGAAGAGGGTACAACCTAATAAATATAGCAAGTAAGCTTTGGCTGTGTACTGTAGTATCATCTGTATCTTTAACTTCATGAAATCTAATTCTCAACCACTTCAGCTTCACAGATTGATTACAAGATTGAACTAATTACGTGAAGGCATTATTCATTGGCACTCCCAAAATTAGAACTCACTAGTTCAGCAGTCTCATATCTTGTTAACTTAGGGCATGACAAAGCTCTACCAGTGACTGGAATGACAAGTATGGTCCGCACATCATCCAACGTGATAGTCATCTCACCAATTGGCATGTGAAATGTATTTTTCTATGGATGCCACCTTTCCACGAAGGCAAATATTGCCACTTTACTGCCATGTCGATATGTGCGATCGACAAGGACACTAAGCCCAGGCTACTCAACCAAATGTCTCCACCTAACCGACTATCGGTGACATCCATGGCTACTCAACAAGCTTTTGATAACGATTCAAACATTTAAGACGTCCCCCTTCATGAATTTTACATAAAACATATATATAGTTTGAAACATATAGTACATATGATTAGTTTATTGTTGAGAAATTCGAAAAAAAACATTTTTCTTCCAAACTGCAGTAGCAACATGGTTTCGAAAGCTAATTAGCAATGAAGGATCCTTTGGAGCACCCAGAACTGGTTCTATGTCATCATCCTCCACGCCAACATTGTCCTCCATGAGGTCAGCCTCTACACCAACATCATTATTGACATCGTCATCCTCTACACGAACATCATCGTTCACATAGTCATTATTCACATCAACATGGTCATCCTCCTCCACAGGGATATTCACCTCCAATGCTTCAGGTTCTGTTTGCCTAGCACGTTTTGTCACGCCCTACTTTTTATTACTCGAAGTATTACCAATTTCATTTACTTAATTCCATTTCAGAGATAACATGCGAAAATAAACTCGTATATTCAACTCGTAGAAGTGAATAACATTGCTCTCATTCGTATGCAAGTAAATACAACATGAGTATAATAAATAAATTGCCCTTGGGCTTACATCATTAACGAATCAAGAAGAAGGGTGCAACCCTTTTACACATATGGCATTCTGCCCATATAAGAGAGGCCCCGTGGCCAACAATTCAGAAGACCCAAGTCTTGCAGCACAATCAGCTCAACACCTGAAAAAGATTCAACAACGTGAGATGAACATATAGTCCAGTAGGGATCTCAACATGGCCCTCAACAATAACAACATAAAAATAGCTATGATCATGAATACCCAATCTCATACTAGAATAGTAATGTGACAGTTTATACGAAATATACATAAGTATAAACTTTTCTTAAAAACAACCATTTCAATCAACGCCATAGGCGATTCAATTTTCTTTTCTTTTCATTAATCCCCGTTCCCAATCTTTCATAACATTAACATTACCTTAGGAAACAAATTCACTAAGCCCACTACTCTCTTCCATTTTCCAAACATACACAGATATCTCCTTTTCAAAATATATATTTCTTTAAAAATATCCATTCTCCTTCATTCATTCCAAAAGACAAAAATGACATTTTGGCTTCTTCCCGGTACAATCAAATCTAGACATGCACCATTATAAAAAGGGAGATAACAACTCACCAACATGCATACGATAAACCAATGGGGCGACTCGGCCCTCCAAAAACGTAACCAACACAATCCATGATATTCTCAGACATAGTGAAACATTAACAACAAAACTTTACTCTACTAGCTATGTGCGTAGTAAGTCAAAGATACACTTCTCACAACAACTTGTCCATGATATTCTCCGACATACAGAAATATCAACAACAAAACTTTGCTCTACTAGCTATATGCATAGTAAGCTAAAGATACACCTCTCACAACAACATGCCAGTTTACCAGGCGCTAGCTGGAAGGGTATGGTGCCTTATATTCTCAGCGCAGTCAGTTCTCCAGGTGCTAGCTGGAAGGTCACGGTACCTCTGATTCTTAGCGCACGGTATAACACCACCAACCCAACACAACAGGGCATAATCAACATGTATAACACATATACACAAACCATCAAGATACAAGCAATGTGTTAAAGTATATGAACACATAACTACCTCCTCCTGAGCAAGCATACATATATAATATATCTCAACACTTCATCACATACGATGTTCCATCAATAATGGTATAATGCATACATGACAATTCAACACAGCCGCATCATCCTCCATCGATGACCAAGGACAAAACCTCTAGATGCAGATATTTAGTACATCTATTAAAGACTCAATTACTATGAGACCACAA